AAGAAAATCACTATTTGTATATTTTGCCAATTTCTAAGAAATAAGCTGCCGAAAACTGATTTAATCTTCATACTTTCTTTTTTTAAAGATTTTATTTTTTTTTTTAATTTTTTTTCCAACGTTTATTTATTTTTGGGACAGAGAGAGACAGAGCATGAACGGGGGAGGGGCAGAGAGAGAGGGAGACACAGAATCGGAAACAGGCTCCAGGCTCCGAGCCATCAGCCCAGAGCCCGACGTGGGGCTCGAACTCACGGACCGCGAGATCGTGACCTGGCTGAAGCAGGACGCTTAACCGACTGCGCCACCCAGGCGCCCCCCATACTGTTTCTTAAAACACTCATTTCCCTCTGCTTCTGCAATAAAATATGCAAAAAAATAGCTTTCCATATTTTTCTTCCCTCCCGGACTCTGCTGCAAGCTGATCCTCCTGTACCCAGATATTAGTGTTCTAAATATTAGCATTCTAAAGGGAAAACCTAAAGATTTTCATTTCTCATACCATAGTCCCTCCCTTGGTGATCTTCTGGCTTCACCATGGCCACAACTGTAATCTAAAAATAAGTAAATGACTTCTACTTTATCTCTAGTGAAGACCTCTCCTCTAAGTTCTAGATCCCTGCATCCATTTTGCCTACTCACATTATTACTATGTGATGACAAGGCAGCTTAAACTCAATAGATCCAAAACTGAATTCCTGGTCTCCCAGGATTCATGATTCAAAACTGGATTCACAATCCATGCTCAGCCAAACCCTAGCTCTTCTTTAATATTTTCTTTTTGTTAGTGAATGAATGGCACTACCATCCATCCTATATGCATGAGGCGGAAGTCTAGAAGTTATCCTTTATAACTTTTCTCTTCCTCTTATCTCCAAATTAATAATCTATTCCAATCCATTTATGGATATTATTGAATGAATTTCTATTTTACAATAATAACAAAATAATCTCCCTTGCTAGTTTCATTCCTCTACTGCCCATATCACTGCTATCATGTTAAGGTCTCTATCAACTGAAATCTCAGACTACCCACCTTCCCTGTTCATTTCAACAATCTAATTTGTTATGCCTTCTACATGTTCTACCTATTCTCGCCAAAAAATCTACTTTTTATCTGCATGTGATTTATTCTTTCCCATTCCTCTTCCCTAGCCAAGCTATGTCTTTTTTTTCCTCTCAAAACTCCTCTTGGAATCCTTCACTCAGTAATTCCATCCAATATCGCTCTTTACTGGGGGAAGAAAAAAAGTTACACATTCAGGGCCATAGTTTCTTCAACTAAATAACCTATTTTTGATAGTGACACCTACAGTACGTACCATAGTTTTCCTCCCAGACATGATTCTCAAACTCTGCCATTATCCAAAAGCGATTTCCTTTAATAATACATCAAGTACCACATCTATGAATATATACATGTTTTATATGTCTTTTATGAACATGTATATATTTTTAGTCTTTTCTATTTCCTAAGGTTATGAATTTCACAAGTTTAACACGAACCATATATAACTGAACTTTCTTCATTTGTTCTGAAATTCCTCTCTCAAATATCAAAGTGGTCCTCTCATTTTACCATTTTCTGATTTGGTGAACAAGTTGATAGTTTTCTCACCCTTACCATTTATGATTTTATTTAAAAAAATTTTTTATGTTTATTTATTTTTGAGAGACAGAGTGCAAGCAGGGAAGGGGCAGAGAGAGAGGGAGACACAGAATTCTGAGCTGTCAGCTCAGAGCCTAACGCAGGCCCGAACCCATGAACCATGAGATCATAACCTGAGCTGAAGTCGGACACTTAACCGACTGAGCCACCCAAATGTCCCTCATTTGTGATTTTAAAGGAATACAAAAATAAATATAGTATTAATCATGTCTTTATACTCTGCTTAAATGGCACGGTCCAGCTGTATTCATATTTATATCCCTAACTTCCATAATAATGTCTCACAAAGAAAAAAGTGCTCAATATACATTAAACAGAATTTAAAAATTCGGCTTAGGACTGATGCTGTAATGTCTGTGAGTGCGAAAAAGAAAGTAGAACTTCTCAAATGTGTGAGCTCTGCATCTTTTCAAGAAAAATGATATTTGGACTAAAAAAGGGATAGAAAGAATTGATTCCCAGTACAGGACAGAAGACTGTAACAAAGCACCTTGCTGCTGCTCTCAATGAAATGAAGCTTCTTGTGAATGTGATCACTGAATTGCTGCCAGTGGAGGAAGCATGGATACCCGGAGGGTTGCCAAAGACTGGAAACAAGCAAATAAATGTAGATCTGATTTTTAAAGAAAAGAACTGACGATAGTCCAGTAGATTCGACATCAATCCTTTCCTAATTCAGATATTTTATTTAAAAAATAGCTTCTAATCCCTAAGAAAAGAAAATGGTAAGCATTTGTGGAGCCAAACTAAATAACCAGACTAATCAAATTTCCTTTCTTGTTTAGAGAGTGTGTTTATAGATAGATCATGTATTAAAAAGAAGCAATATAAATAGTATCAGATATCAACAAGGTAGGATTTCAACAAGGTATATGACCAGGCTCTCATTATACCACATGGATAAGATAAATACAATACTAAGTGGCTAGCTAATTATCTGAATGGCCATAACAATGAGTGCTTCTTAATGAACTGCCATCAACTTAAAGGTCAGTCCTACCTGTGAGCTTCAGGATTCTTGTATGTGGCCTTCTCCCATTCAACAATTTTATCGATAATTTGAATGAAGATGCAAAAGGTTACTATACTACTGTTGGCATCCCATATATGACTCACATGAAACTAGGGGGCTCAAATATGGACTAAGAAAGAGCTGGGATCTGAAAAAACAACAATAAGCCAGATAAATGGATAACTCTAATGAAGATGAAATTTAATGGGGAAAAACATCTAAGGTATCAGAGTCCAAAGAAATCCATATATAACTGTGCAATGGGCAAGCATCATGACTTAACTGCCATGTACGTAAAACAAACAAAAAAGGGACTTAATGTCTTTAGTCGACAGCAATCTTAGTTCAATCTGACAGCAGCAAGCTCAATATGATGAGGATATGAGAAAAGCTAATGTGCTGCTAAATGCAGCAGTAGCAGTATCTCACACATGGGAGACAGCAGTCCTGCTCGACTCAAATCACAATTGGGATATTACGTACCCTTCTAAGGGTCACAGTCTTCAAAGGATCATAACCATACTGGCACAAATTCAGAAAAGAATAACCAGGATGCTCTGGAGCCTGGATACTATTCCACACAAGGAGAGGCAGAAGGGACTAGAGATTTATAAACAGGACAAAACAATGCCCGAGAGGAAAACGATGGCTACTTTCATTCAGTCACTCAACGAACATGAATTTCAAATCTATTTCAGGCCAGACATTGTGACAATGGCTGGGAATACAGAGAGAAGACAGTCTATGTCCGTGGAATATTCATATGTATATCTGAAGGGCTGGGAAAAAAATGATCTAAAAAAGGATTAGACTGTTCTACATGATTTCATAAGGTAGAAATAAGACCCGTGGAAAGAAGTTAGAAAGTAACTGATTTTAGCTCCATATGAGAGTATTTTTAAGAATCAAAGCTACCTGAGAGGACTGCAAGGTTCCTATCAGGAATGTTGGTACTTAGTGGAGAGACTGCTGAAATAAGACAGGCACTGACCTGACCGTCTTTAATGTTCCTCATATTCTGTACTATGATTCTATACCTCCCTAGAAAATGGACTCTCACCAGATTCATCGTACTTGTGCACTTCAGCATCACAGGTTTCTTACAGTTGCTACTTCCAACTTTGTATCCTGTCCCCCACTGAAATGATGCTTTATAATGAGGAATGGATCTGAGAGCAATAGGAATAATGAAATATAGGAAGAACCTGACCCTTCAAGAGACAACACAAAAAAATCAATACTGTTCAATGTAAAGAAAAGGCAGGAATTCTCCTATTCTTCAAATCATAAATTCAATTTAAAATATCCCCCTGTGTTCAATTAACGTAAACAAGGACTTGTCAATGTACTGCATCTCTTGTTGGGAGCCATTTTTTCCTAACCAACAAGGAAAAAACAATTTTAACTTAAGATCACTTCCAGAATGTGTGTCCTGAATAAACACTCCAAAAACCTCTATTATAAGGGTATGTTGAAACTTAAGTTTATAACATATTTCTTGAAATGATGATTTATTGAATACAGCAGGCCTAATATCGTGAACTAATCAAATTGTGGAATTCTGATTAAATGGCTACTTAAGTTTAATACGTTTTAAAAATCACAGGCAGGATAACCACAGAGAAAAGGTCTACACCAGTTAGCTCTGGCTTTTGTAAATTGGTTTGAGATTATTAAAGCTTACTTTCATTTATTTTATTTCGTAATTTTAAAAGTCTCATATATTGGCTCTATACGCTACAACTAGGTATTGAAGGAGTTCACCCTTCCAAACTGTTAATATTAACTTCTCGGAAGCTTTCTCTTACACTTCAGTGTTTTCTCAATTTGGGTACAATAAATGGGCCACAATTCGATTTCCAAGGGCTCTTTCTTTTAACGAGCAGCCTGAAAAAACAAAAGTGAGAAAGAAAGGGGAGCATTTCCACTAGCCCTGAAAAAAAGGCTTCCCCTCTGGCTGTCAACTCTGACGGCGCTCTACCATTTCTCAACACAGTGCCTGGTCATTTCAGATAAAAAAGAGAGGGAAAAAAAAAAAAAAACCTCCAGTTTTCCTGGGACGGGGAGATCCCCTTTTGTAGAAGTGGCTAAAGCTAAGCTCCCCGCGGGATTTCATCTCGTTGCCAAGGCAGCGCCAACCGAGGCGTCCGGAGCCTCGGGCAGCTCCCGCCTGCCCGCCGGGCGCCCAGGGTGGCTCCAGCTAGCAGCTGGATAGCCCCCGCCGAGCCGAGACCCGCGACCGCAGAGTGGCAACCGCGACCCGGGACACCGAGCGCCCTGGGACGGCGGCGGAAGGAGGGGAGACGCGGCTCGACTTACAGTGACACCATCCTAGGTGACAGCACCAGTGCAGCTTGAAGCACTTGCCATGGCTGTGCGTGGCACAGATGGAGAGCCCGTCGCACGGTTGGAAGTCGGGTCTTCGGGCAGCGCAACTCCGCGCCAGGGCCTGAGCCTCGTCCACTTTCTCGCTCTTCCAACCCCGCTCGGACGCCGACGCCGACGCCGCACTCATTTCCGCTCCCTCCGC